TGCTCATATATTGAATTTCAGTAGTTGGTTGCATAAAGAAGTAAAGTGTAATGAAACTGGCAAGCAAAGTATTCCCTAGTCAGCCTTATCTTTGTTCCATTTGTCCTTCAGATACAGCTTTTCTTGCCTTTTTCAATAAAATCCATCCAGCTTTTTTTATTTTGCATCTCTCTGTAACCGAGCTGGGAAGACCAATGAGATTCGGTGCTTTTCTAGTTGGGTTCTTAGCAGCTGCTTTTTAAGAGATCAAAACTTCGAATGCTGCTACATGGTATTAAGGCTTAGCTATTGATGTATCCCTATAGGGGTTATGTTTTTCTTGGGGGGGCAGGGAGAAGGGGAAGGGGTGACCCCTGCGAGCATGCTCACAGACAGTAAACACTGCTCTCCTTGTTTTCCAGGATCCTTTTTGCAAGCTCGGTGCTTAACCTGGCTGAACTCGCTGCCCTCCGCCCTGACCTTGGCAAATTGAAAAAGGTCCTCTACTTCCATGAGAATCAATTGGCATATCCTGTCCAGAAATGCCAGGAAAGGGATTTTCAGTATGGATACAACCAGATTCTTTCATGGTAGGTGTTTCTCGCACCGCTCTGTGTTATTTAAGGTGTCCTTCTGTCTACAGCCTTGCAGCATCGTAAGCCGGCGGAGTCCTCCTCCGTCTAAATGGTGACCCTGTAGCAAACCCGAGGTACCAGCAGGGTCCCGAAGAGAGGCTGATAAACGTGTTGCGGCAGAAACAATCTGCTCTATAAAACTCACCTCAATTTCTTGTATAAAGTCCGCCGATGCTATATTGGGCTACCATGGCGTACCCGTTAGCGGTGCGGGTTTTGACCTGTCTCGTGGCCGTAAGCAAGATGCTTTGTTTCACGGATGCTTCGCAAAGCCGCAGCTAATCGGCTCTTGCTTGGCCATAGCTTTTACTGCATCCGACTGAAATTATATCGAGGGTTTTAGGGAAATAAACAGAAATTAAAATGTACTGCAGCACTCTTCTTGTGAAGAGAGGGCAGTAAACATACCAGATAAATCCTTATATTTCTTTCATCTAGTATTCAGAAATTGTGCAGTGCTAAAATACCCAGACGTTTTAAAGGCTGCAGTCCTTTATTGTTGCTAAAAACAAATGTATTTCTCGAATCTGAGTTAATGAAAGAAGTTAATAACAGCCACACTGAAAAGCTTTGTGGTTAGGCACTGTACAGACCTAAGTGAAACAGCAAAATGCAGTTGTTTTGAACTGAAACAAATTCATTTCCGTGATCTTTCTCACCTATCTGTTAGTGGGAGACTTCTTAGGAGTAGGGACTGAGCATTTTAAGGTACAAGTTAAGCTTTTGCATCTTTATAATACAAGCCAGTTGACATTGAGATTTCTCAAATAATGATCTGTGTATACGCTGGCCATTCTGTGGCTGCTTCTGCCGCTCCATTTGCAACATGTTTCACTTACTGAGCAGTAAAGATGGGAAAGTATAGTGAAAGATGTTTTGAAAACAGAAGCAGCCATTTTCAGATGCTGTAACAAAAAGATGTATTTTTTTGGCACTGGCGCAAGGAATATTTTTTTGTATATATTTTGCTTTATTATGGCAGTTATTTTTCACACATCTGTTGTAAGCTGACAAACATTTAGCCTCAAAATATGCATTTTTAAGATAATAAAAGTATCTTCTTTTATTAGGAAAAAAAAAAAAAGATGTTTTGGAGACGATTAAAATTGGAGCACTTTGAATCTCCAGGTTGGTGCTTTGGATAATTAGGAAAGAGATTTTTTTTTTTTTAATTTTTTTCCTCCCTAGTGTTTCTATGGAGTTTATGTAATAAAATCACACTTTTCAGTGATGATGAGATTCCTTTTAGCTGCTCAGGCAGCGATGGTGATGGGATCTTTCCAAATTGCCAGTGATATGCAGAACCTCTAGGAAAGATTTGGGCAGAGGCGACGTCATGTCATCGTTAAATCAGTGCAGAAAAGATGACGGGGTCGTTTGTACGAAAACAAGGAGACCAACGGGCTAAAAACCATAGGTGGGGAAGAGGGTGGGCTTCCAGAAAGCATTTGAGCTCCTGCAGCCTGCTTGAGAAGGGTTCTTTCTCTCTCTCATGGTTTTTTTGTTGGTGGTTTTTTTTTTGCTTTTCCTGCTGCCTCCTGCTGCTTTGATGAGCAGTGTCAGTTCTCTTTCTTGACCAGACAGCAGTGAGGATGAATGACAGCCTCTCACCTCAAATATACTTTTCAGCAGCCTGGTGACTTATGAACGCGTGTCCTCGGTGTATCTTGTGACCCATAGGTCTGTATTACAATATATAACGTATTGAGAAAACCAACCGGCCATAAAGCATTTCTTACCTCCGTTAGCGTTGCGTGTTTGCCAGTGTAGCTAAGATTGTGTCAGCACTTCCAGGATAAACTTCCAGATATTTCAGTTTTTTTGATAGCTCCTCGTTTTCTCCAGGCTGGCTGTAAGCAGAGAAATGATACCTACATTATCATTTAACTACATCTTAAAATTATTGATCCGGTTGATTTTAAAACACAGCAGTAAAGAACAAAACATTGCGTTAATATGCCAAATTTTTTCAAACTTTTTTTTGGTACTGTGTGTTATGTGTGGTTTTTTTTTATATATATATATATTTACTGAAAGAGTGGTTAAACATTGGAACAGGCTGCCCAGGGAAGTGGTGGAGTCACCATCCCTGGAAGTATTTAGAAGACATGTAGGTGAGGCGCTTAGGGACATGGTTTAGTGGGCATGGTGGTGTTGGGTTGACGGTTGGACTCGATGATCTTGGAGGTCTCTTCCAACCTTAATGATTCTATGATTCTATGATTCTATGAATCAGGGTTACGTCTGCATAGGTTAAAACAACATTCTATTTCTCTAGTATCCTGCTACCTGACTTACTTGGTCAGTCGAAGGTAGGTTACCTTCAGTAACTAACCGAAGGTAAGTTGTCTTTCAGGACAAAGGATTATTTCTAAGGAATTTTCATTTTCTTCCAAGTTTACTTCTACAAAAGTCATATAACAGTGGGCCTTATCTGTTTGTAATGCTTTTAAGAGATAATGGCAGTTATATTATTCTTGCCATTTTATGATAAAAAGTGATCCACAGATAGAACAGGATGTGCCTTTTTAGATTTATAATAGTAATTTATTACTTAGTTAAAAAAAAAAAGAAGTTAAAAAATATTTCAAAGAGTGAACGGACAGAAATCAAGACGTTTCTAATTAAGGTACATATGCTACTCCTAATTCACGTGAAAAGGCTGATTTTAATTAGCATTCCGCTTGCACCTTTTGTTTGTTTATGAGAATATGTATCCTATTTCCATTGCATTTAAAATGATTCTGTTCCTTTTGCAGCAGCAGAACATTCATTAATCTTAACCACTTTTTACAGTTTGGTTGCTGATGTTGTGGTGTTCAACTCTGCTTTTAATATGGAATCGTTTCTCACATCCATTGGAAAATTTATGAAGCTGATTCCTGACCACAGACCTAAGGATTTGGAAAAAATAATCAGACCGAAGTGCCAAGTCCTTTATTTTCCAGTCAGGTTTCCTGATGTGAGCAGGTCAGTACATTTTCCATGTCATAAATTGCCTCCAGTCTGTCAAAACTCTCTATTTATGGTGACGTTCTAACTAATCAGCTAAAGCATCATTAATGAAAGAGTTTGATAATATGCAAAATCCCCTAATTGATAAATGTATTTCAATAATCAGAGTCTGTTCAGGCAGCGTCTGATCTGCCGAGCCTGTCCTTAGTGCGTCGTACAAACTTGCATCGTTCAGGATGAGTGATTTCCCACTTGTTTCAGTCTTTAAGGAGTTGCCTGCTCCTCAGCTCTGTATATATTTGTACAGGGGAGGTCAAGGAGGAGAAAGAAATGCTCGAGAACAGTAAAAGTGATACGCCTGTAGTCAAGAAGCTATATTTCCCTTGGTGTGTTGCAGTGGGGTTTTATTCCCTCCTCCCTCCCCTACCTCTTCTTTTATTGCTTTCCAGGTAGGTGAAAAGCATCCCAGTAGCAGGGAGCGGACTTGCAGATGTTGGCATTATCTGCCGCGGTAGTTGCTCTTCAGTCTTCCTCGGTTACGCTGAAGGACGTTTTTTATTACCCTCTTTTCAGAGCCCGTCTTGAAATTAGTGGTGGGTTATGTGGCTCAAAGGGAACATTCGCTAGATCCTTTTCACTTTTGATTAAACCTGGCACAATTGTTTTTCCTGTTATAAGGGTTTCTCCTCCCACCGAACAGGAACTTTGCTTCAATGGGACCGGTACTAAATAGAGTACGATTTTGCAATTTGATTATACTCTTAAAACCAACATGATGCTGGGTACATTTCCTTGCTGAAATAATGACTCTGCAAGAGTCCGGCTTTTGATCTGCTAATACTTGAGATCTTTGACCCTGACCAGCTTGTACTTACAGTTTTTTCAAAGGCTAAATATACATTTGTGGTAGTTTGGGGTAGAGAGATTTGTAGTACAAGAGCTGAGGTCGTGCACTCTATCGAAGTTCACACTGCAAGGTTTGCATTTCAGTATCTTGGAAAACTTTATATTCTAAAACGCTGATGCACATCGTTTAAAAATCAATCTCTAAAGTTAAGTCTTTGAACCTATGTTTTTGGCAAGTGGGTTAAAATCCTCCAGTGTTCCTTAGGGTCTTGGCTGCCTGGATGGCGGTGGAGATCAGTACCTGTATATCTCTGAGGATCTACTATTGCTTCTCGGAGACCATGTTTTTCCAGAGTGAGGGAATGCTGTGAATGCTTAGCATATTTGATATCGAGCCATTTTAAAAGGGTCCCGTGGTTTTTTTGGCATACCTCAGGAAGTCATGTGGCCCAAGCCTAGTTTTGGAGATGAAGTTGTGATAACCCTGTCTCATATATTAAATCAGCTCTTTTGGACCTGTCAGCCCTGGCAGATGGGGTCAAACGAGACCTGACAAATGAGTCTGAAGTGATACGCACAGTGATCGTTTGTCCAAAGCGGAAGGTGATTAGGTAGGTAAAATCAGGAGTCTGCTACCCAAACTGGTCAAGTGGGAAGATCTCACATGCTCTTCTTAATGTCCTGCTCTTGTATTAAACCTCATCTCGCAAAGCAGGACACCTTTCCCGTTTTCATCGTGGTGGTTGCACTTGAATTTATATTGAACAGCTACTGTCAGCAGTGATGGACAAAATTAAGGTGTTCATAAACAACTGTGTGACTGTACAACTTTCTCAGCGGAGTAATTAGAAACACAGATTAATATCAGCTCTAGTATTTCTAATATATATTTTATTCAACAACTAACTCTAGATGTAAGTTCTGGGGTTTTGTTGTTTCTTTTTTAGACAAAGCCCAATATCATCACAGAAAAAAAAGCAGAAGAAGGGACTGCTGCTGCATAACTCTCAAGTTCCTTGGGTTTTGACTTTCAGCTGCAGCCAGTATTTACTATTTCTTTACAAGATCTTGTTTTAAATAATGTTGAACGCACCTGTGGCAATTGAATGCTGTTTTTTAATTTTTACTGTATTAGTATAGTGACTGAATGGAGATTGAAGGGAAAAAGGTTAAGAAAAATTGTGGCCAAGCTAAAATTTATAAAGCAAGCTCTTAGCCCAGAGTGTTTTTCAAGTTATTTTCAAATGGTAATTTGCTTTATCCAAACCAAACTCATCCAGTGTAAGTAAGTGATTATTTGCATGACTGACAATCATTTCAGTGCCTGCAGTCTTTTTAAAATGCATAATTTTGCTGAGATGTTGGGAAAATATTTAAAAATTCTGAAGGCAAAATAACCAGGGTGATTTTTTTTTTTCTTTACTTTGACCTCTTTTATTTTGCATGTGAACCTCTCAGGGCGTGTTTGTGTCTTAAACGTAATCTTCATTTGGATTTGGGAGAGAGTTGATCTAAGAAATCATCCTCACGCGTGCGATGGTGATTTTTTTAAAGATTATTTTAGATTAATATTGTAATTGTAGGGCAAAATAAAATATATCTGACCCTTGATCAAAACCAGTGTAATAAAGGAGCATGTCACATGAGTTAATCCTGTAATGTACCTACCTTTTAATGTAATTACTGTAGATGATGGTACACAAACTAGCACAAGCAGCGTAGTAAATGATCGCTTAAGAGTGAAGGTGTAATGATGAAGGATACCCTAGCAAATACTTGTGAGTACTATTAGAGGTACCATTATATGTATGTGTAAGGTGTATTTAAATATTTCAGATGGGCATCTAATCACAGCTTTCGTACTTGTGCGAGGCAGTTATCGATGCTTTTTTAATAAAGATTCTTCTTTTTAATGAATATTTGTCATAAGGGCACATATTGGTGTTCCCAGGGCAAACAACCAGACTGTGGTCCTTATCTGACAATGAGAAGAGATGAAAGGATTTGAGGATTTAGCAGAAAAAGAAATTTACTGACCTAATCCTCCTGTTTTCTGGTTCTGACAACGACTAGCTTCCATATTGCAGCCTGTGGTGCCACGGCTACTCCGTGTATATTCATCCTCTATAATTTCTGACTTTGAATTCTCCTCTTCATACATTCTGTTGAAGTATATTGTGTAGAAGTATGTACCGGAGTACTTTAAGCTTGGAGACAAAAAAACCCTCCAAGTTAAGGCTGTCACTTCATAGGTATTGCAAAGGATGTAGACCAGTAGCTGATCTTATGTGCCATATGTGCTGCGTATCAGACTGGGGTCTTATAACACAGTGAATTAAATTCATTGTAATTCACACTTACACTGTCATTGGCTTAATTTCAGTATATTTTCTATTCTAATGTAAATAAAATCCTAAATATTTTTTTTTTCCCTATACAATCAATAAAGTCTATTTTGATATAATCTGTTTCCACTTTTGCACTGGAAAACTGTGGTCCAGGAGAAAAATCCCCTTTCTGCTGATGTTGTCTCTGGTACTCGCATCTCCAAATGCCAGCAGACCCTGCTGGAACACCTCTGGAAGGCCTTTGTTGATATTTTGTATGAATTCTCTCGGCCCATCTGCATCCATACTGTCTGTGGCAGTCGGCAAAGCGGGGTCAGATTTAGGTACTCTTTGGAATTCATTTCAATGAAAATTGTAATATAGATTTTGGTTATTGTCATGGTTTAACCCCAGCCGGCAACTAAGCGCCACCCAGCCGCTCGCTCACTCCCCCCCGGTGGGATGGGGGAGAGAATCGGAAGGGTAAAAGTGAGAAAACTCGTGGGTTGAGATAAAGGCAGTTTAACAGGTAAAGCAAAAGCCGCGCACGCAAGCAAAGCAAAGCAAGGCATTCATTCGCTCCTTCCCATGGGCAGGCAGGTGTTCAGCCATCTCCAGGAAAGCAGGGCTCCGTCCCCCCTAACGGTGA